TCTTAAAGATTAAAAGAGGTGAAGGTGAGGAAGTCTTCTGGTGGGCAAGGACAGGAAACCAGTCTGAAGTTTGCTTGATAGTGTCATCTCCTTGTGGCTGGGTAAGATGTTATTTTAGCCAATCTGATCTTAGCAGGATGTTAGTGGTTAGGCAGGGGTGGCTCACAAGTTGTTTGCACAATGCTACCAGGATATCTGTGGTTAAGTAGGAGCAGCTCATAAACTGCCTGCATGAGCTGCCTGCTTACATTTATTTCTCCTGTTCCCTACCCCAATTAATGTGTGTTGCATGAGGACATGGTGTTTGGAGCTCTGTGGCTCAGGGAGCTCCGAGATTTCATTACTATAGAAAATGGAATCTCAGACTCCTAAGTGGTGACTTAAGGGTTGCTTTAAGGGGAGCTTCTGGTTCTGGGATCCAAGTAAGTAAGCACACTATAGCAGTGATGCATGGAAGCAGAACTGGGGATGTTTTTCATCCTCTGCATGAGGATGCCCTGGTCTTTACCACCTCAGTTGTTCGGGAGATGGGGTGAAGAATGCGGAGCAGTTAGATGGTTCTTCTTGTAACAGTGGTCCACTTTATGCTTTGAATATAATCCTTGCTGTTCTGCTACTGCAACTTATTTTTAAAATGAACCTGTGTCTTTCTCTTCCTCTCTCCCTGCTTCTTCCTAATCTCTCCCCCTTCCTACCTCAGGGGAAACAGGATTACCTCTTCTCCTTCCTTGAGTACACATCCATCATAGGAATGAAGTAATCCAGACTTTGGGGCTGGTACCAGAAGATCTCTGAAATGACTGTATCCAAAATTAACAATTGAATTACAATTCCAACAGAGAACACGTGGAACGTAGCCTTTGAGTTACCTCTTTAAAACCCCCATGTTCCTGCAGATGGGCAGAATCATAGCCCTGTGTTTCTTTTTTGCTAATAAACCAATAAACCTTCTTTTTTCTTTTTCTCAAAACCATATTCTCCTTATTGGATTGGCAAGGACTGAGCTTTCAACAACATTCAGAGCTGCTTGTTTGTGGGGTGGAGGTGGAGAGACAAGGAAGGCAAATGAGTCCTAGATCTGTACTAGGGGCAGAGGCCCATAATAGGCGCTGAGGATGCAGTCAGCTTGAGGGGCCAGTCCAGAAGGACCAACTTCCAAGTACCCAACCATATCTCTTGTGTTTAGGCAGTTGCATGCTTATTTATTTATTCAGAGATGGGGTCTCCCCATGTTGCCAAGGCTGGTCTTATTGATACCACCTGTTACCAGTGACAAGTTCTGCTTCCTCATACGTTGAAGCATAATATTAGAGAGGAAGCATATAAAGCAGGGTTTATTTAAAAAGGGGTAACATAGACTTCTCCTGGAAGGGAGAAGAAGGCCATAAGTTGGTATCCTGATACCCAAGAAGTGAGAGCATTCAGACTTTTTTATATGTCCTAGGCTTCCTTTGTTATCCTCTCTTCCCTTTATCTCTCTCCTTCCTGCATGTGTGAGTAGGCCCTGGAGATGCCCAGGAGATGCTCAATGGGATGGCCAAAAGGAGAGAAGCTGATGGGCCCGAGGGCCAAGGTGGAGTGATCAGGGCAGGAAGGGGGCACAATTAACAACTCCCTTAGGAAGGGACAATCCCTGGGACAGGTTACCTTAGCAACAGGTTGGAGTTGGGGCAGGTTATCTTGATAAGGGTGGAGGAAGGCATTAACATTTCAATCTCTCCTTTCTCTGGATAGGACCCTTGCCTATCTACCTGTCTAATTCTGGCTTCTTTATCATGGGAGAAGAGCTGTCTCCCAAGAAGGGTCTGAGGAGTTTTCAAAGGAGAGGGGGGAACTCAACTCAGGACAACTCAACTCAGGACACCTTTTTGGTGTATGTGATGAAATAGAATTTCACTATGAGCTGGACAAAGGCATAGACAGAAGTTTATTTAGGAAGGTAGATGCACATTCAAGGAAGAATGCAGGCTGTCTTGAGAGTGAGAAGCAGCCCTGACTTGGGCTGGGGGTCTCATATTTATAGAAAGGCTGCATCAGGGGCCCTACTGGAAGTGGATCCAGGGTGGAGCAGCAAAATTTCAAGCCAGTTTCCCCTGAACTTGTGTATTTCCCTCATTGTACAAGGCCTTGGGCCAAGGGCATGGGTCAAGGGCTCATTGCTCAAGATTTATAACTGTGCTTTCCATATCTCAATGCTTGTGGGTGTTTCCTGTGAGATTCAGTATTTTTCTCTCTTTATTCYAAATCCCTGAGTCTGAAACTCACAGAATCAAGCCATCTTCTCACATCAGCCTCATGAGTTGCTGGGACTACAGACAAGTCTGTGCACAGTTGCATTTTAACATCATTCATTCCTGCACCTTCGGAAAGATGACACCCTGAAACAAGCCAAATGTAATGGAGGAAAAATTGCCTGCAATTTTTTGAACGTTTAATAATTAAAAAGGGTTTGGTATCAGCAAAAGCAGATTGGAAAAAAATTGGAAAGACTTTGAAATAGGCAGAAACATAAGTGGTTGTACTGTGTTATGTGTTCCTTTTATGGACTCTCAACTGTGCAAAATTTCAGAATTACAACCCTTTGGGCAATATATATATATATATATATATTTGCACAAAGAAACAGAAGGGGATGGAGGCATGAAAGTACCCAGGCCAGGCTTAGAGACACTGGCTAAGGGGTTGCGTGTGTGCAGGGGGGGTCGCGAACAGTTCTCCCCTCCCCACATTAAGGGGAATAATAAATACTCCTCCTGGCTGGTCAATCAGATGGGAAGGTGGAAAGAATGCTCTTCGCAAAATTTTCGGGGAGCCACGGTTTTGATAGCTGACAAACTACCCGTCTTGAGGGAGGAGGCGAGGAGTGAGGGCACCCCGAGGGAAGAGCGGGGTGAGAGGAGCCTGAGGTGGGGTGGCGGGTGTGGGGAAGTCTCAGGGGATTCTCGAGGTACAGTGGGGGGTGGGGAGTGAGGGCGACTGGGCGCCGCCGCCGGAGCCGGAGCATGGAGGACGAGAGCTCCCTCAAAGCCGCAGGTAATGGGAGCCGTGGCCGACCTGACCCGGTGCGCCCTCGGTTGCAGCCTTCTGCAACCGCTCCTGTTCGCGTCTCGGGTCTCGGGTTTCAATGGCTCGTCCCGCCCGAAAGCTCCAGGCTCCAGCGCTGCAAAACGAGACGTAAACAGCGCGCCGCGGCCAAGGGAACTTCCCGGAGTAGGCGCCAGGACGCCGCTAGCCGCGCACCTGTTGCCGCCATTGCCGTCGGGTGGGGAGCGGGCTAGGCGCCCGCGTTTACCCCASAAAGTTTAAATGCAGGGCACACGGAAAAAAAGAGGAAATGATCGGGGGGAGCTGTAGGAGGAGCTGCCAGATGTGAACCCCTGGAGAGCACCGTGCTGGGCACCCAGCCTCGGTCGCGGCTTCTCCCAGCCATCCCTGGGACCGCAGGGCGTTGGGACGGCTGACCTGGGCTTGCTCCCTGGGCGGGGAATGTGGGCGAGTTCCCTGCATCTTAGGGTCTTGGTGGTCTCGATTGGGAAATGGGAATCTCACACTGGGGAAGAGTTCCGTACGGACAGCTAGGGTTACCGCAGTCCCCCAGCCCGGGCAACTGGGATGGGGAGCGGGGGGAGGGTGGTCGGGCCCCCCTGGGTGCCAGTTCCCACCCGGGCTGCGGTTGTGCGTCGGACGCGACTCTACTGTCCCAGCCGGGACTTGAGGGCGCTACCCTAAGCCCGCCACCTGTCGGGTCCCAGGTGGTACTATGCCCGGCCCTCTGTTTGGAGGCAGCGTCTGAATCTGAAAGCACTTGGGACTGACCCCTAAAGGGCTGTCTGCTACCTCCGCAAAAGCGGATTGTTGGAGGGAGGCAGAGGCAGGGCCATTGGATTCTGAGATAGTACTTCTTTTTCTCTCCTGCATCCTCTCTTCCAGTGAGAACAAGTGGCAGGAAGGGGCCTGGTTCCTGAGGGAGGAAGAGGCCAGCTCCTCTTGTCCCCTTAAGCGTCCAGTTTGCTTGCTAGGCGCCTTGGCCGCAGCTGGCGGGCCCCGCCTCACAAGCAGTCAGACCGCAGACTGGCCACACTCTCCAGCCACACATCCCAGTGAGGGAAAACTACGTCTCACGAAGGCGCCTCTGCTTTTTATTGGAAGCCAATGTCAGCGTCGGAATCACTTGCTTTTATAACGTGCATTTGAAAGCTACGATCGAGTTGTTTTTCTTTTAATTTTAAGTCAATGAGTTAAGGAGAAGGTAGCCCGTAGCTAAGTATATGTATTAGTAACGTGCTTCAAGAATGTTTTAGCTGGTCTGGAGATTAAGAGAATTTTGTTTTTATTTTTGGAGAGATTCTATTTCTTTCTTTTTTCTTTTTTTGGTACTTCCTTCTAGAAAGTTCGGGGTTTTTTGTTTGTTTGTTTTTAAGAAAGTTAGTTTTAATGGTTTGGATAGTGAGCGCTGTTTCCAGTGTGCATGTTGGAGAAGTGAAGCAAGGAAAAAAAGTGACTCTTAAAAAATGCAGAGAAGCCAGTATGGGCTCATTGTACAGCATTGTGTCATTACAGGGAGGTACTCAACCCTGGCTAGCTTCCTTTCTTGGTCTCTGTCTTCTGGTGGTACCATGAAACAGAGGGTTCCCCATGACAAGTGCTTCAGAAATCTGTTTATGCAGTCTTATTTTAATGGAAAAAGTAATGGTAATTTCACCTTCTGGAAAAGTATAGCTGGCCTATAACCGTTTACGGATTTTCCTGTACTTATTTCAATGTTTGCTGTGGTTTTGACAGTCACTGATGGCCCAGATGACACACAGCAGTTGCACATTAATCATTTCCACATGTGCTCGATCCTAATGGATTGGAATTTTGCATAGTTGAACCATTGCCCAAGCTTTGATAGCCCTTTTCCAAAAATGGTTTGAGCTAATCGTGTCTGCTTGGGAATACTTTTTCTCTGATCGTGTCTGCTTGGGAATACTTTTTCTCTGAGCAAAGAAGCATGGAACTAGAAACTATGGTTTCAGGTAAGGCTATATCCTAGTTCCGACTCACTTCTGCTGCTGAAACAGGGAAAAGGCATGTGAAGGGCCTGGGAGCTGTGTTTTGTGTTTCTGTGAGGCTCCTTAATATGGGTGTGTCTGTTTTCCTAAGGAGTTACTGTCCAGAGGGGATTTGGGAGAACCCTACAATAATTCAAGTTTTCTTGACATGCTCCAAGGCCACACAGAATTTCCTTGCCCCTCCCCCCCATTTCAGAGCCTTTGTATGTGTGTTTTAAATTTCCCCTTTACCAAAGACCTTCTTAGGTTCCACTGGTGCATCTGTTGCTGTCATTTCAGCTTAGAGTATACTGGAAAGAAAAAGGAAAGTTAGATGCAGCCTTCTTCTGTTACCTTGAACTTCCCTGTCTCTGAGGTAAAGGCTTGACTTGCCTCATAAAGATTAGATGAGACCCCTTGTGAGTGGGAGCCAACTGTTGGGCCCACACTCTTGCAGAATGGACACAGAGAAGGCCATTTGTTTGGACTTTTGAAAAGTTGGGTGTTCTGACAATTTACACTGGTCATAAAGCAGAGTGGGCTGATACACAAGAAAGCTAGCAAGCAAGGGGAACTAGAGGGTAACTCAGAAGCTTGGGTAGGAGCAAGGGGGACTGTGGGGRTGCTAATAAATGAACTGACTTCTGAGGGTGGGGAGGTACCCGCATGATTTGATTGAGACATAGTGATTTCAGGATGTTTCAGGACTTGCCTCTTATTGGAAATATGAAAAGTTTGTCAGAAATACTAACTCCAGAGTGCAGGAGGAATTCAAGTGGAGAATTCCAGAACCACCAGAGTCTGTGGTGCCTGAGCTCTACTGGGGACCCCTGCTATCTAATGAAGACAGAGCAATGCAGATGGAAGCCTGGGAAGGGTGTCCCTTGGGACATGGGAGGAGGAGAGGACAGAGGGAGAATGCTCAGGGAGGGAGAAGTTCTGGGAACTGGTTTTGAGACATAGATGTGTAGGGGTAGTAAAGGTGATCCCTTGCCTTCCCAACATGAGTTATGGCCAAAACAATCCCTGTAACATGAGGCAGTCTCAGTGGTGTACACCTGTAATCTAGCTACTTGGGAGACTGAGGCAGGAGGATCACTTGAGCCCAGGAATTTGGGATAGTTTGGGCCACAGAGGGAGACCCCCATCTCAGAAAACAAACAGAAAAACAGAGTAAGAGAAAAATATTACAGATTAATTTAATCCTAGTTTTCTGTGACACAGGAACTTTCAGAATGAAGACACAAAGCCAGAAATGCCTCTCTTATGCTTACATTCTATGAAGCAGGGACAGTCCTGTAGAAATATCATGAGATAAGAAAGGTATGATCTGACAAGCAGTAGGTTGAGAGAGGAACACACAAGGCCTGTGTTCAGATTCTTCCTGATGTCTCTGGTTGTCGCATTTCTTCCTCCCCAGTAATGGTCATGACCCTTCTGGAATGAGGGTCTTATGACCCACTATGGGAAAAGACTGGGTCAGAGAATTCCTTTAGGTCCAGCTTCAAGACAGAAAGGTTGGGAGCAGGAGGACTAAGTGTAGTGTTTTTATGGGGGAAGGGGTTCCATTTCCTATGGCCTACTGTGGAGAAGAGGAATTCTCATTTGTATGACTTGTTTCTGGGAACATGGCAGGCAAGAGAGGGGAGGGCAAGAGACAGAAGGGCTGGAGAAGGTCAGAGACGTTGGTTTGAGGGATTCCAACTTGCTTTAGTTCACAGTACTCAGCATGCCAAAGTGCTGTACTTTGGGGTATCTTTTTCTTTTTGAGCCCCAACAAATCCAAAGAGGGAAACCAGAAAGAAAAGAAGCCACAGGCAGGACCTGAGGCAGAGGGAACCCAGGCAGTGCAGATATGGAACAGCCCAGAAGGTGGGTGGACCTATCTCAGGACCCTGACAGGGGCCAGGCACAGCTGCTGTTTCAAAAGGATTTGTGGTAAGAAGAAAAGGTAGAAGGCCAGGGATGGTGGCACATGACTGTAATCCAGTGACTCGGGAGGTTGAGGTCTGAGGATCGCAGGTTCAAGTCCAGCCTCAGAAACTTAGCAAGGCTCTAAGCAACTTAGTGAGACTCTGTCTCAACAAAGGAAAAAAAAAAAAAAAAAAGACTGGGAATGTACCATTGGTACACTGCTCTGGGTTCAACCTCTGGGAGGTGGCTTCTCCATTGCATGTTTGGGCAGAGGAGACTTGAATACTTGAATAATTTAGTAAGTTAACCTTTAGGAACATTTTACTGTAGGTCAGGTATTGTACTGAGCCCTTCATAAACATGACCTTAATTGATATCATGATAAGTGGTAAAGGGAGATAGTGTTATCATCTGTACTTTACTGGAGAGGAATCTGAGGCACAGAGATGAAGTAACTTGCCTTTGGTTAGCTGGCTAGTTAGTGGCAGTGTTGGGATTCAAATGGGAGTTGTTGTTAGTTGTGGTCTGACTCCCCAGAGAAGGAAATCTGTCTTAAGGGTGAAGTTCCCTGAAATTCCAAAAAAAAAAAAAAAAAAAAGGTAGGGTAGAGGCTCAGGAAGGAAATAATTCACAAGACAGTTCCTAAAGGACCCCTTCAGAGATGACCTCCTGCTAACATAAAACTTAAATCACATATTTATTAGCCATTTTGAATTTTCTCTGGTCCATGGCATGTGAGTAACCTCATAGGGGAACATGGACGTGGCAAGGCCGGAGAATCTCTGTTCCTGGGGAGCAGCACCTCACTGGGGATAGTGGGCGGAGGCTGGATGTCACTACTATCAATTATCCTGTAGCTCTTACCCAGCCTCTACCCATCAGAAGGGATTAGCCAGCCTCTATGCATCAGAAGGGAAAGGAAGGGATGGGAAGGGATAAGTTAGTCCCTAAAAGTCTACTTGACCATGAAAGTTGTCTGGTATGGCTACCTAAGCAGATGATAGTAGTCTCTCTGAGGGCTGGACCCTGGTAGATCTTTCTGCCTAGTGCTCGAGTTCCATGAATGTTGGATGCAGGGGATATTTCCCTGTGCTGGTGAAAACCCTTGTTGGCTCTGTGAGTGTAGAAGGGATTGCTGGGAGGAGTTTTATGTAGACTGGGTATGTCAGGAAGTGGTGAGATGCTAACTGACTTGCCACACACCAGGGCAGAGTGCACCTGGCCAGGTTGCTGGGCAACACGTCCCTCAGAATGTCTTCCTGGGAAGACTGGGTCTGAGTGGGTCCTCCTAACTGCCTGGGTGACTGTGTACCCCTTTTCTCTGGTGATTCCTTGCCTCCCTGTGGGATCTATACTGTAGAAAGTTCTTGTTCACTTTGTCACTGGATGTCTGTGCTAAATAGGGATTGCTATAGCCTGAGGCAGGGCTGGAGAAGGCTGGTGTGCTGACCCTGTCCAAGGGTCCTGCCATGGCCTGGCAGGATGGGGTGAATTACCAGGAGGCCAGGACTGGAGCTGTCAGTGGGAGGACAGTGGGTTCTGAGGTATTGCCTTTCTGACCTTTGAACCCCTAATCCAGTGTCTGGCTTTCTCTGGGTTCCTGACAGCAGCTAGCTTCTGGCTCCTCTGCTATGGTATTGGTAGCTTAGCCCAGGGAAGTTCTAAACAGGATTGTAGAAAATGGCTGTGTTATGTGGTATAGAAAGAAATTTTAGGAGAAAAATCCAGCACCCATTCAGATACCTAAAGGGTCAGGTGACTTTTAAAGTTGGGGTGGGTGGGGGGCAGTGGAACAGTTGCAGTTTGGTGTCTTTCAGTAACAGCTTTGAATGAGGATGTAACAGGTGTGGTTTAGAACTGCCGTGCCTTCGAGACCGCCCATCCTGGGCTGTGAGTTTGCCTTTCCAAGGTCAGAGATCAGCAAACTGGGATGGGGACCAGGGATACAGTTTCTGTGGATCCAAAGGCCACTGTTGGTTGAAACGCAGGCCTGCCCCTCCTCACTGCTGCAGTTCTTCTCCCTATCTTCCTGTCCTGTTCTTTGACCATGGGAGGAGCTCTCACCCATGGCACTCAATATTCTCAGGCTGCAGCCTCATTTTCTTGCTAAGAAGAWCCTGTTTCAACCAATGCCTGTTGATTGACAAGGTACAGAAACCTTCCCATGCTTCTTTGGTCCTTCRAAACATGGCAACCATGAAGTCGCTGGAAACTGCCTAGGCTGAGGTCTTGGGGCACAGAGGGGAGATGACTTGGGGATGGGCTCTTGCCCAGGGTAGTGAGCTCCCTGCTCTATGTGTGTGGCAGCAGAGGAAGGGCTCCCACTTCCCAAACCCTCCTAAGATTGCTTGATCTTGCTGAAATTAAGATAAATGTGTTTTCTTTGGAAACTGAGTCTCGAACTACAACTCACAAATTTCATTAACAGAGAAATCTGTGTTCATTTCTTCATTGCTAAAATAAACCCTAATTAGAGTCCATGAATACTTCCTCCAGCGGTAAGTATTTGAGAAGTTGACTTTGTGGAAATTTCCCCACTGTTAAAACTTCTCATGGTACCATCCCCCTGCCCAGTTGTACTCCCTATCAGACTGGTACTTAGTGGACTATTTTTGACTTGTGTATGTATGTGGTGGAGCAGTATAAGTGAATTATAATAGTTGGTTGTTCATTTTGAACTTCATGTTTTCCAACAAGTGAGGTGTATATACGCTATCCACATTTGGATTATTGGAACATTTTGGGGTGGGGGTGACACTTTTAAAGCTATGTAGAAGGGAAGGTATTGCTTTTTTTTGGTGGGGGGGGGTTACCAGGGTTTGAACTCAGGGGCGCTTGGCCACTGAGCCACATTCCCAACCCTATTTTGTATTTTATTTARAGACAAGATCTCACTGAGTGGCTTAGCACCTCACTTTTGTTGAGGCTGACTTTGAACTCACAATCCTCCTGTCTCAGCCTTTCCATCCGCTGGGATTACAGGCATGTGCCTCTATGCCCAGCTTACTTGTATTTTTGATGATGAATGAATATTAAATAAAATATTTATTAAAATATTTWAAAATATTTGG